CTATGAATATACCAGTTCGTTCTCCGGTGGTTGTATACCAAATACTCACGCTGTAGTCCAAGATGTGTTTAACATTCCAATCTTTACTCAAATGATTTTTATACCATACTCTGTTATCACAGTGATTGATCAGTTTTCTAGATTTATTTATCATTTCTTTCGTTTGAAATTAGTTGTTCTTTTCATTGCCGATCGCACCTCACCCATAATTGTCCGATCTTTACTGTTCTCTTTCTGTTGATATTGATTTAGTATATGACTTTTTTCTTCACCGTTTGTTTCTAGCTAGAGTGCTACTTTTCGAAAGTGCACATCTGGCGAGATGACGGACTATATGGCACAAATGCTCAATGAGCTTATGGGGCCTCAACGAAACTCGCTACCTGGAGAGGTACTAATCTGTTACATTTTAGATTTAATCTAGTGGTTTTTTCTTGTTTTATAAATTTTATTTCCAATAAACATCCGGATTTGCTCAGGGTGGTGCTATTGATTTTGACCATCCAGATGTCTGTCGCGACTTTTTGGTTGGTTTCTGCTTAGCCGAAGCATTTCGCAACACTAAAAACGACTTGGGATTTTGTCCCTATGTAAGTATTTATGATATAGGTATTTTTCCCTTGGTTTATTTTTTTTCTTTTCAAAATGAGTTATAGCCCATCCACGACGAAGCACTAAAGAAGCGCTACCAAGAAAGTCATCGATACGGACGCCTTGGCTATGAAGAGAAATACCTGGAAAGGGTGAGTAGGATGACATGAGTAGTAGTAGAACTGTTTTGTGCAGTATAAAGCATAAGAATATAAAATCTTGACATGCAAGTTTGATACTGCACTTAGATAGGACTCATGGTTGTTGATTTTTGCAGTTAAATCGTATGCACAATGAAGTGCGGAGGAAAATTGAAAAAAATGAAGCTCGACTTGTCCACACAAGAGGTTTGTTTTGAAGTTTTCTACTCCGCATTTAGGGCTTATGTGCTTAGACTCCGCAGCTTTTAGCGGACACGCACGTCTCCAGTGAAGTATATGACAAGAAGAAAAAGGATCTAATAGAAAGAAGAGAGATGATTGGTAGGAAAATTGAGGGGTTAATGGAAGAGGCTGAGGTATGACTCCATTCAGTTTTGTTCTAATTATAATGTTTAGCGAAATAAGTGAAAATTTTAGATTGAAGGTCAGCAAGGAAATGTTGCAGCAGCTCAAACAGCTGTTCAAAAGGCAGACGAGCTAACTGTAAGTTTACTCACGTGAGATTTAAGTTGATGTCGTGTGATCATTTTAGAGAGGTTATAGGGCACAATACAAAGATCGTCTACTATTTTTAGAAAGAGCGAGAAGATCTAAGAAAGCAGGAAGAAGATTTAGAGCTCGAAAGACAGAGAGCAATTACAATGGAGGAGCAGCTTACGGCTGGGAACAAACAAATGCAAGTTTGTCAGGTAAGTTTCTTTTCATGTCATTGATATATACCTCTTTATCAAAAAATAGCATGCCTTTAGCTGTTTTGACTTTCCTCCTCTATTAATACTTGTGGGGCTTGGATCATTTCACTATATTTTGCAGGTGTGTGGATGTTTCATGCTGACAAATGACGCCCAAAGTCGAATTGATGACCACCTCAGTGGGAAACTTCATATTGCATATACAAGGATCAAAGAGCAAATCGACCTTATGAACAAAGCAAAGGAAGAAAAGAAGCTTCAGATGGAGAAGGAACGTGGGAGAGATAAGGATGATAAGAGACGTGATGATCGTCGAGACGACCGTGACAAGGAGCGAGAAAGAGATAGGGATCGCAAGGAACGACAAGGAAGAAGAG